TTGTCCCCAACATCCCACCTGCCACCTCTCTTGCTGTCCCCCTCCCAACCCAGACCTGCATGCCTCCATGGTAATCCAAAGGCTAGCAGCCAGCAATTCCATGCCAGCCAGGACAATAGGCTGACCAGCAGCTCCCTGAAGGAGTATTACTCCCCTTGCACTGCAAGACCCTCCCCATGGAGCCACAGAAAAGGGGAGGGACCTGGCAAGATATCCAGTGAAACCTTCCCTGCAGGAAATGGCCTGTTAGCATCCAGACTAGGGGTTCTCCAAGCTTTGCTTGAGTGCGCAGAGTGATGGGGCGCTCACTACCTATCTAGTTGTCTGGGTATCTCAGTGGTGGGGCTGCTAAGGCCATAAACCTTTCCCCTCTGTCTGTCATGGCTGCAGTTCCATGCCCCTTGTGGTCTTCTCTTCATGTGCTCCTTTGGACTCAACTGGCACGTGTCTGTTGACTAGAAATTCATTACCTCCTAGGCCGGCCCATCCAGCCTGGGCTGAGCTTTAGAGACTTCAGGTAGAGCAAGGCCTACCTCCCCAGGCTCCCTCTCCAGGGAGAGGTGACCAGGAATGCCATACAGAGCCTGAGATGCCCTTCAGAGGAGATGGCCCATCTGTAAGGGGAAGGGAGCGAGGCACGAACACCAGCCACAGGAAATCGCTGGGCCAGGAGGAGGGGTGCTGCTTGGAGAGTGGGCAGGAGTGGAGGTGGGGCTCTTTGCTAGGAGTTTAACTTACAGGCTTTGAGGGACAGAGGATGGTTAAACCTGGAGAGACTTGGTTGCTGAGAAAAACAGGGAGCACAGGATGGATGAAGGGAGAGGCAAAGGGCACATCTGCAGGCTCCTTGGTATCATGGTGTGGTGAGTGGCAATGGAATTGTGAGAGCCAAAATCAGGTCTTGGCTTGAAAAATGGGGACTTCCTAGGCATGAGAGAGAGAGAGAGAGAGAGAGAGAGAGAGAGAGAGAGAGAGATTTATTGGAAAGGTAGATGTATAAAGAGAAGAAGAGACAGAGAGAGAGGAATTCCGTCCACTGGTTCATTCCCCAGCTGGCCACACAACAGTTAGAGCTGAGCTTGGTCTAACGCCACGACTGACCTTCTGGGTCTCCCATGTGGGTGCAGTGGCTCAAACACTTGAGCCATCCTGCTCTACTTTCCTGGGCCATAGTCAGGGAGCTGGATCAGAAGTGGAGCAGCTGGAACATGAACCGGTGACCATATGGGATGTGACTGCTGTAGGCGGAGTACTAGGCTGCTACACCACCTACACTGGCCCCTTTCCATGCCATCTTTCACCTACTCCTCACAACCTCTGTAGAGCCATTCTTGTTGGCTCCATTTCACAGATGAGGGCTCAGAGAGATGATGTGGCCCAGAGAGGTTAACAACAATAGTAAGTGACAAAGCTGGGACTTGAATCCAACTTGGGCTGACTCTGGAGTCCCTACTGGTAAGGCCAACTTAGAGAGCCTGGCATCAGGCACCATCTGGCACCATGGTGAGAGGAAAGGTTCATGCTAGTAGGAGACACGGAATAAAATACCCACCAGCCATAGCCCTGGCAGAAGGCAGCCCCAGCCTCAGGCTCACAGAAAGAAACTGTCATGAAGAAAGTCCCCATTGATGTGTGCATGTAGGTTTCAGGGAACAAACCCACTCCCCTGAGCTCGGACACTGGGAGGGAGAGGGCAACAGCCCAGGGGACAGGTGCATGATGGAATCAAGATTAGTGGAACAACCCAGGGGACAAGCGAAGAGAAACACTCCATTTTAGCTGCAGGGTGTGAAGACTCAGGGGACTCCCTAAGTGTCACCCAGACTCTCTGGTGACATCATCAGTTGCAAATCTGGAGCTCCGAAGAGGAGAAAAGATGTGGGAATTACGAGCATGAGTAATGAGGTGGAAACCCACAAGTAGGGGTGGTAACCAATAGACAGTGGAGCCAGCCCTAGTCCTGAATCCATTTCTATCCTATATACATGGGGGAGGGGGAGTCAGGCACAAACCCTTTCACCTTGTGCAGAGCCCCACTCCAGCGGTGACACTGGGCAGAGCCAGCCTGAGGTGGCCAGATGCACTGGGGTTAGGTTCCTCTGGGCTCTCCTTTGGTCTTACCTCTGCTGTCAGCATGCCCCTGTCTAGAGAGCTGGCCCCAAATGGGAGGCGAGCAGCTCAGGATTGTCTAAGGTGATCTTGGAGGTCCCAAGGATCCTACTGGATCCTCTTGTGGGAACAACATGCCAGGGGACCTCAACAAGCCCATGGGAAATGTTTGTCATGGAAAACAATGCATGTATTTCAAAACTTGGTGTACTGCATAACCTGGTTTTGGGCTTCATCTTCCCATGGACTTTTTGAAGTCCCTAAGACTATAGCGCTTATCTACCTTTTTTTTAATGTAGAGAAGAAAAGTGAAGAAATATAAGCTGCACTGATGTGCAAGACCAGGACTTGCTCCTAGACACCAGGCTTCATGAGGTCATCTGGCAGTCCTGGTTTATGGTGGATGGGAATGGGATGCGTGTCAAAGATCCCCTAAGTGAACCCCTAGTTTTGTGGATCCCCAGGACACACAGTCATACTCACCAAATAAAATCAGAAAACTTGGGGCTGCATCCAGAGGAAGCCAGCAGGAGTTCCAACACAGTGTCTTTTGTCTCCTAGAAGAGTCACGTGGGGTGCAGTGACGTCACCCCAGAAGTACTGTCTCCCAGGGACACTCACTAGAGACTGCATGCCCCAAGTCCCAGAGCTCCCAGACATACCAGTTCAGGGCCATGCTCGTGGGCAGGGCTTGCTAAGGATACCTGTCTCAGGCCAGCTGCCTGAGCTCATCCTGTCCAGCCCTTCCTGGTCTCAGTGCAGTTTCCAGATGCCAGATTGCATTTATCTCCCTGCGTGGTAACTAACTTAATTAATTTGTATTATTGAGTCTTCATGAATTTAGCCCTCACCAAATAGACAAGTGGCCAGAAAGTGATTGCTTTAAAAGGAGCAGAAGTCAGAGCAAATATTAATCACGCTAAACCCATTGGAGTGACACAGCTCCTCAGAACGGAAGACCTTTGTTAGCCACATCAGGAGGGCAAGTGATACTATTTTTGTGAAAATGTCCAAAATAAATGTTTGTGGGAAAATGAAATTACAAGAGAATTCTAGATAGGCACAAAAATTATCTCAATTCACTGGTCATTTGTTGACATTGTACATTGTACCTGAACTTCTCAAAGGCCCCCTTGTGTATGTGTCTAAAGTTATTTTTCTCATTGGAGGCTGTAATCAAAGCCGTGTCAGGCTGTTGGTCGCTCTTCAAGGTGCTATCATGGCCCCAGGGGAGTGACCTGAGCTGGACAGCTGCTCACCCAGCTGAGCCTTGACCCTAATGGCTGGTTCCTGAACATGGATGAACCTGCCTCGGGTTAAGGAGATTCTGTGTGAGGAAGGAACAGCAGGTGTTGAAACCTGGGAGTCCAATCCAGGACAAGACTGTGAGTTCCAGGTTCAAGTACAGAAACGTCTTAGAATCTTGGTCCTCAGCTTCCTTGTTCCGCTTCAAGAAGGGCTCCCAAAATTCACCCATTTTTTTGTTTTATGCTTGACAATACTTGTGGCATGAACAGGTGAATGAATGAATGAATGAATGAATGAATGAACAAACAAGATTGCTGTAAGATGTAAGGTGCCCTGTGGCTCTGACACATGAGAAACGTGTGATCTGATCAGGGCTAAATTCCCACTCGTCCCCTCCCCATTCTGCTTCTCCATCCCTATTCTGTTTCTCCCTGCCCATTCTGTTTCTCCCACCTTTATGTTACAACCTGGGCACTCCCGCAGCCAGCCCACGCCCTCTCTCCAGCCCTGTGGCTCAGTCTCGTCCATCTGCTTGCCCCCTGCTTGTGAAATGAACACTAAATACAGAGAAGGAAGCAAAGGACAGATGTGGCCAGCATTCACTGCTGGCATGCGTTCATGGACAGCCACACCATCCAATGTGACTCTGCGGGTGGCCCTGCCATCTCCTCAGCAAACCACATGGAAAGGAAAATAGAGAGCCAAGTTCCTGGAAAGACAGAGTCAGCGTGGCCAGGAACGTGTCTGAAGACTTCCTAGTGAGCTCAAACAAATGGGCTCCGGAGGCCACATCTAGCCAGCCTGACCCATCCTCTGTATCCCAGCTTTCTCTGGTCTGTGTGTGGTTAGCGCAGGAGAGCCAGGGCACTTTGAAGGGTTGGCTGAGAGCAAGGGAAGGCCCTAGAACAGGGGCCCTTGGAGCAAGTTGCTTTTCCATCCCTTCGAATGGGATGGAATGGGGGTAGCTCCCAGAACTCAGCAGTGCACTGACTGTTCAGCCTGGAGATCTGTGTATGTCCCAGGTATTAGAGAGCGTCAAGTCCAACCAAGGGAGTGGGAGCAGGGGTTCTGTATATGTCCCAGGTATTAGAGAGTGTCCAATCCAGCCGAGGGGAATCTGGGAATGATGATGACCATGGGAACTGGCCACCCGAGAGCCCCCACAGCCTGCCCAGTGATGGCCAGCTCAGTCAAGCCTGTGGGAATCAGGTGGTAGGCTGACAGATCAGGGCTGACTTCTGGGGAACAGGTGAAAGCCAGACAGGCCCTCGGTCCTGAGCAGGAACTCATAGGTTCAGTGTGGGCTCAGCGGACAGGCTGACTGGGGAGGAAGAGGCTGGGCGGCAGCTGGTTGGTCCCTCCCCTTGCCTAAGACCTGTGCCTGCCACCTGGCTGGGAGCTGTGGCTACGTTAAAGGCAGGACCCACCTTTCACCCCTCTATGCCCACTGCCCTGGCTCTGGCAAGCAGGGGACATAACTAAAGGTCCCTAGGGTGCAAATAAGGACTGTTAATGACACTGGACAGTCTGCGGAGCAGCCCAACAGTCCCCACAGTCTGGGTCCCCCTGCTGGGTGGTCTTGTGTCTGACCAGCTTCACCCATGACTAGGATGTGACTGCCTCTCTTTGCTTGTGGTCTCTAGGTCAGGACCTGGATTCTCACTGTGGGCTACACGACCGCCTTTGGAGCCATGTTTGCTAAGACGTGGAGGGTACATGCCATCTTCAAAAACGTGAAAATGAAGAAGAAGGTAACACACTCCTGTTTCCTGTGCCTGCTCTGCCCCCTTGAATTCATGAGCCCTTTGTGAGCCCCTGAGTAGGTGCGGCCTGTAGGCAGGCCCCCACCCTGGGCTCACCCCACTTCAGGGCACACAGTTTGTCCTTCTGGCTTTCCTCACAGCAGTAGCATTTTGCCACCTGTGGCCCACAGCAGGGGTAGGCAGCAGGCAGAACAGTCCCTGCAGAGCCACCAACCTGCTATGGCGTCTTGGGAAGACCCTCCTTTCCTTATCTGTGGTTTGGGGGCGAGATGGACATCTCCTAAGCTGTGATACTGCGTCTCCTGGTTGCCACTGAAGGCATCTGTCACCCCTCCATCTCCCCTCCACCCTCCACCCACCTCTGCCTTATGGTGGGCTGCCTTCTCCCAGTGAGCTGGGGCACGTCGGCCTTCTCTGCCCCACACGCAGACCCCCTCAGCAAAGCTCCCGGCTATAATTCAGAGGAACCCACATCACCCCCACTTCCTGCCTCTCACCACCGTGCATGCCCTAAAGTGTGCAGGTTCCCAGAGCAGCAAGAGGGACCTGTGGGGGAGCACAGATGTCGCGGGAAGGGGCTGCTCCCTGCAACAAGCCCCCTGCTTGTTCAAAACATCACCTGTTTTTTATTGCTTGACTGTTTTCACAGTCTTTTTTTTATAGGTTTTCTTTTTTTTTTTCTGTTTAAATCTTCCATCCACTGGTTCACTCCTGCAAATGCCCACAACAGTCAAGGCAGAGCCAGGTGCCAGGAAGGAACTCCAGCTGGCTCTGCCACGTGGCTGGTAGGGACTCACGGATTGAGCCGCCACCTGCTGCCTTGCTGGGTGCACATTAACAGGAGCCTGGAGCAGAGGCAGAGCCCAGCCTCAGACCTAAGATCTCTGTTGGGGACACGGGCATGCTAACCAGTGCACCAAAGGCCCACCCTCGTTCTGTGTCACCTTTTTTCCTTTTGTTTTATAGTCTTCTCACTTTTTCCTTTTTATTCTTTCCTTCCTTGTGTGTTTTTCCCTATTTCTTACATTTTTTCCTTTTTTTTCTTTATGAGTGATGATATCAGAGCCCCCGAAGTATCTGAAGTTATAGGGCTGAGCTGAGGGAGGGGGTTCTCGGAGGATGGTGATCCTGTCCCAGGAACCAGGGGGAGACATTAGCATGAGGAGAGTGGTAGAATAGGTCGGGGAGATGACTTGAACAAGAGGGTGGCAGGGACAGAGGTCTGTGGTTGGCAGGCTCTGTGCAGGAAGGGTGCTGTCAGGGTCAGGGGGTGGGAAGGTGCTGCCTTCAGGGGACAATGGCAGTTCAAGGTCATCTCCCTTCAGTCAATATCACTGTTCTGGCCAGCTGAAGTAGTGAGCTGTGTATCTTACCACACATTTTTTTTAAGCTGGTAAAGCAAAGCAGCAATAAAAACCAATCTGGCTTATGTAACATGCCGACATCGCAGAGAGCAGTCCACTATTTGGTTGGTGTTTTGAGAAGCAGACAGGTCCCCCGGCTGTGGGTCACTCTCTCAACTCCAGCAGCAGCCCAAGGCTGGAGCCCAGGCTGGGAGCTGCACATTCAATCCAGGTTCTCCTACATGGAAGAACCTGATGACTTGAGCCACCAGCTAGCTGCCCCTCAGCATTTGCAATGGCAAGAAGTTGGAGCGGGTGCCAGACCTGGGAGTTGGACAGAGGCACCCCTGTGTAGAATGCTGGCAGCGTAACTGCATGGTCAAGTGGTCTGGAGTCCTGGCCAATTTGGCCTGTGCAGGGTGCACTTGCTCTCTCCCTCCTCGCTTCTCTGTGGGGGCTGCTAGGTGACACTGGACTGCATCACCACACATCTGCTCCTGGAAAGCCTAGGGGAGCCCCAGGAGTTTCTCAGCCTGGAATGATACGTACCTTGCCCTTCTCTGGTTTCACAAGAACAATAGTATTGGTCGTTCCTGGTGTGGGTTTACATTGTATGAATTCACCCTCTGTCTCCAAAGTTTTCTCATCTCCCCCAGCTGAGGCTCTACACCCCAGCCCCACTGTCCCAGCCCTGCCTACCACCACTGTCACTATGAATTTGGTTTCTCTAAGAACCTTAGATCACCTGAATATGTGTCCCTTTTGTGTCTGTGTTTCATGGAGTCTCTGTTTAACAATAGATTTTATTTTAATGAAAGCCCCTGTCACATGCATTAGGTTTCCATACACCTGTAAATGTAATCATCTATGTATCATCTTTTTATCTATTCCTTCTTTCGTTGGCTCCTGCCTCTTCCTCCTTCCATCCACCCACAATGGCCTGCCCACCCCAAACACAGACACAAACTTCACCCTGTGTGGTCCCATTTTTAAAGACATTAAAGGAAAAGGAGCCCATTAATGGAAGCATTTGCACACTGTGTCTTTGTGCTCCCAGATCCGGTATTTGTATAGCATGGTGCCATTCTTTTTCTAAAGAACAATTGTAAAACCTTGAAATGAGAAGCTTGTGATGGTCTCTATTCTGCATCTTCCCAAGACCAAAGTAAAACATTGAGAGAAGGAACTCGGGGAACCTGGGATGAGAGACTTGGCACCCCAGGGGCAGGAGCCTTATAAGACCTGCAGGCCATGGTCCTCCTGCAGACAGTGTTGCAAACAGCAAGAGCTCTGAGGCCTCCCCCCGACCTCTGCGAGGGTCCAACTGCAGCACATGCCAAGGAAGGGCCTATGGCAGCTGCCCAGAGCATCAGTGACCTGGAGGTAGAAAGGTGCCCAGGGCAGCTGGGCAATGCAACCCCAGGGACACCATCCACACCCAGCCTTCCCTGAATGATATTCCCTAGAGTGGTGAGAAGGCTGAAAAAGTCTCCAAAGTTTTTTTAAAGACACAAAGAAATGCCCTTTTCTCTTAAACCAAAGGTCAGCCAAGTTTTATTCTGCAAAGAACTCGTGAACAGGTGAGATTCTGTGGGCTCTGTAACAATGTACCCTGCTGTTCAAGAGCTGAAGCAGCTGTGGTTCACGTGTCAGTCACTCATTGTCAAAAACAAGTGCTGTATCAAATCAGGGTTTGTTGCTGCCTGCTCCAAACATCAGTGGGAAGGGACATTCAGCAGTAATAGCTGGCCTCGGTCAACCAGTGGTGGGAAGCCCAGCTCTGCTGTGGCTTCTATGAGCTTTGTCCCTGGTGCAAGCCCTGGAAGGACTTGGAAACTGGCTCAGAGAGACTAAAGGTGTTACTCAAGACCACACAGATCACTAGCACCTTTCTTTTCTTTCATAATATGTATTTATTTGAAAGACAGAGTTACAGAAGAGAGATCTTTCATCGGCTAGTTCACTCTCCCAAATGGCTGCAATGACCTGGATTGGATCAGACCAAAGCCAGGAGCCAGCAACTCCTTCCAGGTCTCCCACATAGGTGCAAGGGCTCAAACATTTGAGCCATCTTCTGCTACATTTTGGACACATAAGTAGGAAGCTGGATCAGAAGTAGAATGGAAAAAAAAGAAGGAGAATGGCCAGGGCTTAAACCAATGCCCAAGGGGGTGCTGGCATCACAGGCAGCAGCTTAACCTGTTGCACCACAGAGTCAGCCCCTGGTTAGCAACTTTCCACCTCAGAACCAGGGCCTTCATCACCACTAAGTGCCTGTACTCCCAGCTCTCATTCAGGGAGAAACCTGGAAAGGAAGAAGTCAGGGAAGCTGAGTTGAGAATACAGAGAAGGCCGTGACTGAGACAGGTGTGAGACGGGGCTCAGATTGCAGGGCCATGGCTTTAATTATCTAAGGTTATTTTAAGTCACCTCCCTTGGCATTGTATAGTGTAAGTGCATGAATGTGTCTACTTAATTATGCACGGTTTGTCTTCCCCAGTAAGATGTGTGCTCCCCAAAGGCAGGAGGTTTAAGTCTTGTCCCAGGACTTGGAACTGAACCTGACTCGGAGGGACATGATTCGGAACTTCTTAGCCTGAATCCACTGAATCACAAGCACTGAGCTTTGGGAATGGTGCCAATCACAGGTGCTCAAGACCTTCCACCACGAATCCCTTGGCTAGTAGGCCCTGTGGCTAGTAGGGCTGGACTGCAATACAACATGGTGCCCTCTGGGTGTCGCTGTCCTGCACGTAAACACAGAATGGCCCAAGTATCAGGAGCAAGCAGGCTGCACTCAGTCTGCTCTGCGTGGATGCTGTAACAGGTGCTTTCCCTACTTCATCTCATGTTCTTCCTTTACCAACTCTGCAACCAGAAATCTCTGACCCCATTTATATAGAAGTAAGTGGAGTCCTGGTAAAGTTAAGCAACTTGCCAGAGACCCAAAAATCGGGGTTAGAGTGAAATTTTCTAAGACCCGTGTTCACTCCTTTACACTAAGAGAAAAATACATGTACCTCCTTGCTCTCTGCAACCCTGAGCCTGACAACTTCAAACAAGAAGTGCACCATGAGAGAAACGAAGCCATTGGCCTACAGCCACACAGGCAGCCAGGAGTGGAACCAGGAATGGAGCCCTCCCAATTCCACCAGCCTATGCTTTCTCGAACATCACAAAAACCTTGCTTTCTCACATTTACAAGGGGGAGATTCCAGTGCCCATGCTGAAGGCCAGCTGTGGCCCATGCGTGGAGGAGGCTGGAGTGTCCCCAGCAGAAAGTGAGGGAGAGGACTGTCCATGGTCTGGTACTTACTGGGCAAATGCTTGCGGGGTAGAGACTCCTACCACCTTTTGAGTCCAACTCTTCCCCCCCTCCATGTTGTTCTTTTTATTGTAGTCTCTCCCTGGCAGGTGGGGGGTTTGTCAGGCTTCCGCAGGGCAGCCATGTGAGGTTTCCACAAAGTAGCCATTTGTTGGGTCCTCCTGGAAAATCTCAATGAGAGAGGCCTTTGGGGGGTGGATTTGATGCTGCGGGCAGCAACTCTATCACTCTTTGTTCTTGCTTTTTCACTGAGAGACCCTTGCAGCGTCCATTTCTCTCAGTGCTCGTTAGAAGCCAGACTTGGTGATGTTTACTTTTCCAGGAGTGTTTTTTTGGCAGAACCACCTCATCACATGAGCTCTTCCAGATGGTGGGGGAGTTTAGGTGTACACACACAGACAGGTTAGCTTTGGGGCTCCCAGCATTTGTCCCCTGGCCAATGTCTACTCAGCAGAGGGAAAATAGGGTTGCGATCTGACAGCGTCATAAAAGCACCCTCATAGCAGCGAAGGGGCTGAGGGCTGCGTTTCTCTTTATATCGTGTCTCCTTGATCCAATCCATCAGACTTTTAAGTACCGACTGCCTGCCAGGTGCTGAGAGTAAACAAATAAAGCAGACCTGCTTCTGTCAGGGGGCTCCCCAGTTTACTTTGGAGGGCAAACACATACACAACGTAATAGGGCTCTGATGGGTGCTAGAAATGTTTGCAGGAATTCAGAACGAAGGAAGGGCTTGCTCCAAATCCAGCTTCCCCTCTTGGGAGCTTTATGATGCTGAGCAAATTCCTGACAGCCTCCACAGGCCTCAACTGCTTCCTGCATAAAATGGGGAGAAGAGGGATCAGGCATTTAGCCCAGCAGTTCAGACGTCCAGGTTCCATATCAGAGTACCTGGGCTGTTTTCCTGTGTCTGCTCCTGACCCCAGCTGCCAGCCAATGCAGACCCTGAGTGACAGTGGATGATGCTCAGCTCCAGCCACCCGACCAGCTCCTGGACTGAAGTCCCAGCTCCTGGCTTTAGCCCTGGCCCAACCCTGGGTGTTGCAAGCATTTGCTCAGTGCCTCTCTCTCTCTCTCTCTCTCTCTCTCTCCCCTAATTCTCAAAAAATTATAAACTATGGGAATAATCATAACTTCTGCCCTTAGATGAGATGAGATATATGAAGCAATCAGCAAGAGGCAGCCACCAAGTTTGTGTGCCTTCATGTTAGCTTTGCTGTTTGTTGTCGCTGCTACAGTTGCACCTGACAGCCACTTGTGTGGACAAATTGCAATAGATGGAAGTCATTGGTGTTGTCAAAGGAGTCGGAGGGGACTTCATGGGTGAGGTGCCAATTGGTCTGGGTCTTTAATGATAAATAGAAGCTTATATGGGAGACCCACATGGAGTTCCTACCTGCTGGCTTCAGCCTGCCCCAGTTGTGACTAGAGAGGCCATTTGAGGAGTGAATTAACAGATAGAAGATCTCTCTCTCCCTCTCTCTCCACTCTGTCACTCTGCCTTTCAAATAAATAGTTAAATCTTTGACTTGAAAGAAATAAGAGCATATTTCAGATAAAAGAATCAATACCTACAAAGTATCAAAAGATAAAATATACAACCCAACTGCAAGTCAGCAGTGGCCAAACAAATGAAGCATGAGTTGTCTGGGGAGTGGCCAGGCCAGACTCCTAAACAGCCTGGAATGCCAAGCAGATCCACCTGGCAGGAGTCCTCTGGTGGGTCCAGGGCATGGCTACTGCCAGGGTTCTCCCCACTCCACCTGCTCCACTCCGCCCCTTGCCTCCCTGCAGATCATCAAGGACCAGAAACTGCTAGTGATCGTGGGGGGCATGCTGCTGATCGACCTGTGCATCCTCATCTGCTGGCAAGCTGTGGACCCCCTGCGGAGGACGGTGGAGAGGTACAGCATGGAGGTAAGCAGCCGGCTGGGCGGCAGGGGGCCTGCAGGACACAGCTCCTGGCCCACCCAGTCCTTAACCTCCTTCATTCCACTTGAGACGTGCTGTTCCAGGAAAGCTGCCATCACATGAGGCAATTCAGTACTCTTGTTAACAAGTGGCAGAGTGGGCTGTTTAGAAGGCCCCGAGCTCCTACAGGGTGGGAGTGCCATGGTCTGGGAAGCAGTCACCTGGCAGTTTTAGCACACCCGTGCAGTCAGTCCCCAAAGGAGGACCTGCACAGGGAAAACACTCTGGGAATGACTTCTAGCTACTCTGCAATTTTCAAAGTGAAGAGCAGTAGTTTTTTTTCTTTTCTTCATTTGATGCCAGATACTTGCCATTCAAATCAAGATCTTCCCATAGAAGTGCTGCTAAGGATGAGGTGTAATCATCTTGCATTGAGCCTTGCCCACAACACACATCCATCTTTCCAGCTTCAACCAGTCGGGTTCCCTTGGGTGCCGTCTTCTGGTTGACTTTCCCTTAGAACACTTATAAGTGCATCAGTGGGAGGGGCTGTGGGGCACGCTGCTTGTTATCATGTCTACCGATGTAACCTACCTCCCACTGTGTTGTTAGGGAGGTCTCTGTGTGGACTCTGGTGGGAATTCTTCAACAGGAAGTGGCCATTCTGTGCATGCCGATGACAGAGGCTTGTGTCCTTCCAGCAAATGAGACACCCAGTCGCACTTCTCTTGAGACAAACGGTTTACTTGGCCCAGTCAGAAGTATGCAGTCAGAGCGGCGACAGACTGCCATTTGGAAAGCAGATGTAGGACCACGCCCCCTCCCCTCCCTGTCTCGTCACTTTGTGCATCCATCTTGGGAGGACACAGGGCTCCATACAGGCACAGCTAGGAGTGGCAGTGGGGATGGACCCAATGTGCCCATGGCACAGCAGACAGGAACTGAGACCCCCTCGGCCAACTGGCTGTGTCCAGAGGGGCAACCGCATCTGGTCATCAGTCACCTTGCACAGTGACAACAGAGCACCTGCCACCCACTCCAGCCTGAGGCAATTCCAGCTGCCAGCAAGACTTAGAAATCCAGGCTGGATGTCAGTGCTGGGAAGAGCTGCCCTTGGCCAGCTGGGCCCCGAACTAGGGTAGCACTAACAGTGGCAACAGTGGTGTAACTAACAGCGATATAGGGGTGCAACCTGGCATTGTGTGGGGGCCTGTTTTATCCTCACCCCTAAGCACTTTAAAGTGAGGAGAAGCAAACCTAGATAAGTTGTATTACAAGGTCACCCAGCAGGTTAATGGCCACTAAGTACCTTCTGGCCCATTACCCTACCCTACCTTTCAACACCTGGTCCACTCTCTGCAGTTTTGCTGGCTTTCCCAGGCCTCAGTTCATTGAGCACAGACCTGTGAAATGGATGGAGCAAGGGAATGTTGATTCTTCCTACAGAGGAAGATTCACATTAGGCTCCTGGGCAGACTCAGAGCATGAGGGAGGATAGGCAAGGGGTGTCATACAGAGCCCATGGGAAGGCCCAGTGCTGGTTACAGGTGGGCAGATGCTGTGCCCAAGGGTGAACCAGGAATGCAGACTGCCTGCTATCTCCACCCTAGGGTAAACTGAACACAGAATATGCATGGGCCCTCCACCCCACATCCCTGCCCTGAGTCTCTGGCTGTGGTGGAGAGAGACGTGCAGGCCTGGAGCCAGCCTGAATCAAGACATTGGAAATAGGCTGCATCCACTCCTACCACCCCAGACCACTATGCAGTCTGGTTCATGCAACTGAAGGTCTGCAACCTTGGACCCAGTGGTTCCTCCTCCTGTGTTGCTGCTATTGGAGGCTCTGTCCATGGAAGCCCACACTGCAGAGCTGCCCAGGGAGCTGTTCTCCACAGAGTAGCCCTGGAGCTCTGAGGAGGAGGAAGCTGGGCTACAGAGGGGGTGACTGCCACCCGTAGCCAGATGGAACCCCCAAGGCCAGCTCAGATGAGCCACCTCGGAGCTTCCTCTGTGACCGCTAGGATTTCTTCCAGAACCTTCTACGGCCGGCTTCTCTTTTTCCTCCTCTCTGATCTCAGGGGTGCCATGTTGCTCTGTTGCCATGGCAGCAGAACCCTTTAATCTTAACTGTCCTCCTTCTACCCGGCCAATGCCAAGCTCTAGGGCACTCCTTTCTTGAGCACAGAGTTGGCAGCTGAACCACATACCCAGGCTCCGAGGCCACCTAAGGGTCTCTAGAGCATCCAGTGAGGGACTGTTATCTCCAGGACCCATAGCCAGAGGGAAGAAGCTAGGTCTGCACGAGGGGTGATTAAAGATCTGTTTGGCTTCATCCGCATCCTCCTTGCTGCCCTTAGCCATTCTCTGGACTCCGATCACCTTGGAGTTCCAGGCATGGGTCTTGCTCTGTACCTGTGCTCCACCCACTTCTGGAAACTTCTGGCCCAAGTAAAGGACTTGAATTTCACGGCAGTTGCCTCCTGGGGAGATGGGTCCACCAGAGCGAAACAGCTGCTCCCTCCCCTGCATCGTGACTACCCCCAGCACAGCCATCCACCTACCCTGGCTGGAACACCAACTTCTCCAGGGCAATGAGTTAGTTTCTAGTGATTCGAACACTAGAAAAACACAACGAACTAAGGTCTACAGATATTCACAGCAACCATACAGCCATAGCAAGCAAAATAAAGCAGCTGAGAGAACTCAAAATCCAAGATCACCATGGCCTGGGGGCAGAGGGAGGGGTCGGGGTGCAAGAAGGAGGATATTGTTGGGAAAGGCCCAGAAGGTTCTGAATGCCATTCTCCAGGCTGTGCTCACCCGTGAGAACCTCTCTCTCCGGAAGTATGATGGACATCTTTTTATAAAATCGCTATGCTTAGTTACTAGAACAATTTCTTAGAACAGTTTTAGGCTTGCCGAAAAAGTTTGCCAAAGTACAGAGAGTTCAAAGGACAGGGGGATTTCAACGCTTATTGGAGAAAACAGGGAATTTAAAGCATGGATTTTGTTTGGATTAAAAAAAAAACTGAAATGCAGAAATATTGTTTTTCCATGAACTTTTTAAAGACTATATGCACTACACATACATGTTTTCCTTATTGTTAGCATCTTTTTGTGTGTGGTGCCTTTGTTCAAAGGATGAGTCACCCTGCAGAGTTCACTCTATGTTGTCTGTGTGCTTTGCCAATGAGTAATGTCATGGATCCATCAGTATCCTTCCATTCTGACAGTTTTGCTTCTCAACTCCCAGCAGTCACTGACCCATAGTTTTGCCTTTTCTATGATGTCCTACAGTTGGATCATTCAGTTCACAGCCTTTGTGGACTGGTTCTTCCACGTAACAATTTGCATATCTGTGATTTGCTGGCTCATTTCATTTATCACTGACTACTCGTCTGTTGTAGAGATGTATCACAGTTTACTAATCTAGTCACCCATGGATTGCTTGGTTGCTCCCAAGCTTGGCCAGTTAGTTGTGAATAAATCTACCCATGCTCATTAGCCTAGAGATTTGGGGTGAGCATAAGTTTTCAGTTCAACGGGGTGATTACCTTGACGTACAAATGTACGATTCTGTGGTAAGAACATGTTGGTTTTGTCAGAAGCTGCCAAACGACCTTCCAAAGTGGCTGCTTGATGTGCGTTCCCAGCAGTTATGAATGAAGTCCCAGTTGTTCCACGTCTTTGCCAGCATTTGGCGCTGTCTGGAGTTTGGATTTGAGCCATTCTGATAGGCCTGGTATCACAGTGCTGTTGTAATTTGCAGTTTCTCAGTGATATGCAGCTTTTCATTTGCCTATTTCCCATCTGTATATGTATGTTGGTGAGGTATCTGTTAAAAATTTTTACCCATTTTTTAATTAAATTGTTTTTTTAGTTGTTAAGTTTTAAGACTCTCTCGCATAACATGGATGCATGTCTTTTATCAGATTTGTGTTCTGTGAATATTTCCTCTCAGCTTCTGCCTTATCTTTTTGTTCTCTTAACACTGTCCTTTGTGTTGTAAATATTTTTAATCCTAAGGATGTTCAGCTTATAAATTGCATATTTTAAAAAAAAATCTTTGTGAAAACCGCAGATCATCTCAGCTTTCCCCTGATAGCTTGTAAAAGTTGTATAGTTTTGTGTTTGATGTGTGAATCACTCATCCCTCTTAAGGTACTTTTCATAAAGCTATAAAGACTATGTCTCGATTCACATGTGTGCCTGTGGATGTCCAGTTGTCCCAGCACCAGGTACTGAAAGCACCATCATTTTTCTGTTGGATTGCATTGCATCTTTATCACAGATGAGCTGAGTATATTGTGTGGGTCTGTTTCAGGCCTCCCTGTGGTGTTACTTTGACTTATTTGTGTGTTATTTCCCCTAATACCACACTATCTTGGTGATTATGGCTTCATTGCAAGCACTGAATTCAGGGAGTATAGGTCCTCCAACTTTGTTATGTTGTATTTTCTGAGTCCTTCTTTTTCTTCTCTCCCTAAACTCTGGAATCAGTTTGTTGGTATCTACAAAGTAACTTGCTGGGATTTGGATGAATCTACATACAAAATTGGCAAGTTCCAAGAGTTTGACAATATTGAGTCTTTCTCTCCATTGATCCAGATCTTTTGTCATTAGAGTTTTGTGTATTTCCTCATATAGATGTGCAAAAACTTGTTAGATATATACCTATTTCTTCGTGTTTTGGTACTATTATCGTTGGTGCTTTTAATTTTCAAATTCCAATTGCTCATTGCTGGTATAGAAGAAAGCAATTGTCTTTTGCTATTAACCCAGTGTCCTGCATCCTTGCTATAATTGCTTATTAGTTTCTGGAGGTGTTTTGTTGTTTCATTTGGACTTTCCAAATTGAATGATGATCTCATCTGCAAACAGAGACCATTCAATTTCTTCTTTTCCAATCTACATCCCGTTCACCTCCTCTTCTTGACTTCTCACATTAGCTGGAACTTCCAGGGTGACAGTAAAGAAGAGTAGTAGTGAGGAGGACACCACTTCCT